ACTGTTTATAGAAAACAAATTATTAGAGCAAAAGTAACAGTAGTAATAAAAATGATTGGTATATATGAAGGTACAATGAATGTTAAGATTCTATATAACTTCATCTCATATTCCGGTATATTACATATCCCAGAATTCTTTAAATGATTTTTTTGTACATCGATCTATGGATAAAATACTTTTATGTTTTATTAATGAAGAATATAAATTCTTGAAGTTGTTTATTGGATGTTTTATAGATGAAAGAGATTTAATCTTTAGGGTATTTACAATTTTCTGGGTCCTATCCATGTACGATATTTCTATTCCGAAAACCACTTACGAACGAGAATTGCAGCGTATTCGCAGATCCTTGGCTCTTGTTTCTGAAAATGCTGAAATTGTAAGAAATTAAAATTTGATGGTGGTCAGACCTACTTCATTATTGTATGCGAGAGTCAGTAAAAAATATTGTTAGCAGTGGAAGAATTGTCATTAAGATAAAGCCTAATTATTTACTTTAAGTACAATTAAAATGAAGTTGTGAAATCAGCGGATTTTTTTATGATTCTGTATATAATGTCCATAGCGTGTCAGTACACGCTCTGAACGTATAGACACACTCTGGTTAAATAGTAATTTCAATTTCAAAATGAGTTGCAATCGATGTTTCCATATTTAGAGTAAAACAAAGAGAGCAAAAGAAGAAGAACAATTGCGTAACGTCGAGAAAAAATTAACCGATGAATTGAAGAAACAGGGTGATCATGTGGAACGCATTTTACATATTTTGAGGCACGACAAGGAATTATTGTTTGCTGATTGTAACCCAAGTAAGTGAAAAATTTGTCCAGTTTTTTCCACTTTACTCTTCTATTCATCTTGAGTTGATTATTTCAGAATTGACTAATGTAATTTCGAGACATAATTGGTAACATTGCTTCACGATTGACCGATAAGAATGCTGGCTGGCTTTTTAGGAGAAAAGCTTGATTGCCTATAGTCCAGATCGGTGATATATATATATATATATATCAATGATATGAGCCGGCACATGCAATTTAAGTTGAAACTTCAAAACTTTAGTCGTAAAATTTCAGAGTTTCGCGGTACGCAGATGGCACGCTTTCTTCAACATTGTATTTTGCCACGTGCAATCTTTACTGATATGGATGCTGCATTCTGCGCTCAATTCACTCTTTTACTTCATCAGCAGAGAACTGGCTTCTTTCAAACTGTCTTTTTCTTTGATAAGGTTACAAATGCATTCACTTACTTCATTTCGTTATTTGAGATTTCTTGTTGCCTACAGTTTCATATTTTTTCTAGCTATTCAACGACATTGGTGCTATACTGGCTACGCTAACCGAGAATGAAGCGAATTGTTTGGGACGATTTCTAGCACTTGTGCTTGAGACTGTACAACATTGGCATGGCGATAAAGCAGTTTTTGATAAGGTATTTTTATTGAATGGAAACAAAAGGATAAAGGGAACTTTTGAAAGTACATGCAGCATTTTTTAAAGTAAGAATTGAGTAGACTAAAAATTTTTAAAAAAATAAAATCTTAGGAATGTTATCGTTTCCCCGGCTTCATGACCAAATTGCATATGAGAAATCCCGAGGCGACGAATACTGAGAGTATTAGTGATGGAATGAACTACGAATCATACAGGTACGGTATATTGGTTTTGGTAAGCGGATGGTTATTTTTTACGTATAGAGTTTTTACATATACATATAGGATCATGTTTTATTTTACAGCTCTTAAAATTAAGTTTCCAGAACTTTGTGTCACAAATGGCAGTACAGGATGACTCGATCATGTCTTGGGATTTTGGATGGCTCAAACTATGTAATGATGAGGAACTGTTTAATTGTCATGATTAAGGTGAAAATATTTTTTATTTATCTGTCAGACTTCCGGGCGAGATTTAGTATATGCACACATTGGAATAATTTGTGTATCTGTTGGTAGTTGATAATGACTGTCGAATTTTTGTGCTTTTGCACCTAATGTAGGTTATGAGTAGGTTATTTTAGATGTTGGCATATTTTCCGCTAATCGAAAATCACATCGCAAACATTGAAAAGACTGTGAACAAAGTGCATGATATGGAAAAAGGTCGCAGAGACGACCTTTCTTTAATGGCCGCCTCCTACGCAGGCCATTTACGTATGCGTAAAACACATACATATACCGAATTACAATTCCATAATGTAATCATTTTTTATTGTTTTTGTCAATCTTTAAATTAAGACAATTTCAAAAATTTGACTTGGGATTTAAAACTTAAAAAGTAAGTTAACTTTTTATCAGGTTAATTTATATTATTGGCTAACTTAAATAAATTATTTAATTAATTTGAGTTTCGCCCACTTAAATTTAGATAAAGTTGTAAATTATGACATTCTAACTACTAAACAGATTAAACTACTTTCGAATTCCCCTTTACACAAATTTTGCCTTCACTTATTTGTGGCATCGTGCGAAACAAAAAGTCTAGAATTATTTATAAATTCATTTTTATATTTTTAAGAATTTCTTTGTTCATGTTGTCTTTATGGACATGCTAACTTTATAGCGACTAACTGATGTAACAAAGAAGGCAACACGTGCGGGTGCAGCGAGGAGTGCAAATGGAACTACAAATGTAAAAGTTGCAACAAAAAGTTCAGCTATAGAAATAACTGAATTAAGTAAGCAGAAAAATTCGGCAGAAGGAAATGTTATTGAACTTCGAAGACCGACCAATGGAGCAGCAGAGCGTAAAGCACCAGTTGCAAGCGATGAAAAACGGAAACTCTCGGAGCCACCAGCTGCTGAACTCATAGCAAAGAAGAAGCCAAGTAATTGCTAATATAATATAATTCTTTTATTGTCCATTTTCGTAGCTATTCGTTTTTGATCATATTACATTTTAAATTATTCCAGAAGTTCTCGATGGAGAGGAACGACCGCAAATTCAAGCTCAAAGAAGCAATGAGGAATCGCAATTACGTCGTAGTGAAACCAGAAAGGAAGTACATCGAGAAAAAGAAGAATTGAAAATGGAGGAGGGTGAAGTGGGCTCCCCATCTCCAAGTTCACATTCTGAAATTCTTTCGTCTCATAAAAAAGTGAGTGCTACTGTAATTTTATATGTAGTCATATAATTGAAGTGGTCATTTTGAATTTCGTTTGCTTAAAAGGCTCAGGTTACACCTATATTTGTTTCTGCTTTTTACAATTTTTGTCAAAGAAATGTAGATGCTTTCAATTATTTGTTTCTTCTGGTATATTTTACTTTACATTTTATCTGATTTTCATAACCAGTATTTTGCGCAGTTGAACGACTCATTTGTTTTACTCTTTACTCAGTTGTTTTATGCCTTTTTATTAGCACTCATTATTTTGAATTTTTTCAGTTTGATTTTTTTTACAGACTCGAAGTAATAAAGGAGTGGAAGACGAAGCACCGAGGAGAGAGAAAGAGAGAACGAGAGGGGAAGAAAAAAGGGAACGTAAACGGGAATCTGTTACATCAGCTTTGGTATTTCTGTTTATCACACATTTGTTAAGTGCGAATATCGACCCGATTACTAAATCTCATGCTTTGCAGACCCGTGGAAAGCTTAAGACTCCGGAAGATCATCTGAAAACGCGAGAAAGAGGATGGAAACGACCTGCAGAACCAACAGATAGGTGGGAAATTCACAATGCTTTTGGAATTTATTTTTAATTGTTCTGTAGCCGATAAAAATTGTTTTCAGTGACGGAAATACAAAGCTAGCGCGGAACGAAGGTAGCAGTGGAGCAGACAGAAGTGCGGAATCAAAGAGTAAGAAATTAACTTTGTTTATTCAATTTCATTATGTATGTTGTTGTACGGTGGATAGGTAATATGTTCTCGAGAACAGTTATGGAAGATATCAAAAACCTAGTAATTTAATTTCTTTTTTTATCTTCACTAAATTTCAGACACGAAATCCTCCGAAGTGTCGCCATCCACTCGTACAACGCGACACAGACGTGATCCACATCGGACGTAAGTCTTCAAGTGTGGTTCAATTAATCTTATTTTTTCTTCATGACAAGAGGATAATTATCCGAAAGGCGCATTTGAAATCTATGTTGTAGAAATTCTTTGTCTCAATTTCAGTCTCATAATCAAAGGGTTGCTGATTCGATCCCAGCTCATGGCACCAAAAATGAAGTTTTTGATTTTATTGATTTGTTGTATTCAGTTATATGGTCGTGTTTTCTTCCGTGTGAGACTTTCGAACAAATAAAATGTCTTTTCTGAAACCGCTAAAAAAACTGCGAATTCATTTCCTTCCATATAGGTTTCTATGTTGTTCTGTGGCATGAAACCACTACCTGAACTGGAAACACGGTTTTCTCTATCGTCAGAATGACAGTGAAATTAATTCAGCAGTTTCTTTAGTGGATTCAAAAACGATATTTGTTCGACAAGTCTCATACGGAGGAAAATAGACCATAATGACAAGTGAATGCAACTATCCAATCAAATCAAACATTTTCACACAATAATGTGGATCAGTTTTTATACAACTTATTTTGTAATAGTTTATCTTCTTTATTTTAGAACGGCAGTAAGCCATGATCGTTCGAGATAATACAACAAATCGGCTTAAGTGATTTATTATCATTGTTTTGCATCAATCTAAATTTATTGTTTAATGTAACAGTGAAGGATGAGACAGGCTGAAAGGGTTATTTCACTGCGAAACGCTAGAATTAAACCGCTGCGGATTTACCAAGCTTTGATACCGAGGAGCTACACTGACATGAGACGTGATTGTTATTCATTATGTATAGCAAACAGAAGTCGCCATATATTAAAGCTCAGTTTGGATACTTGCCCGATTTCAGAGCATCCTGTAAACCCATCCCATTTTAATTGATATAATTGTATGGCAGGACGATTTTTTTACTGTTGGTGTCGTTGTTTGCAATGATATTACTTCATTATATGATTTATCAAACTTAATTTCTGTATAAAGTTTTATGTACAATTTTAAATCGAAAGTAGATCATAAATTTGTTTGAAAACACTCATCAGAATGCAAATTATGGCGGTTAAACAAAATTTGTAGAGTCTTTCCGTACTATTTTTGGCCCTTTCCCATTCCTCTCTACTTCCTTTCACTTTTAATTTTCCACAAAGAATCACTTCACCGGTCCCTGCCTCCGTGACAGTAATCGTCTTATTGAGAACTGAATCATTGAGCAGGTCAAATTCGATTTCCGTCCATGGCTTCAATTTGAATTTTTTAAAATATTTGATAAGAAAATTTTGGATAAAGATGGAAAAATCATCGAATTTGTGAAGCTTCAGATTTGTGGCACATAATTTTTAATTTTAGTTCGCCAAATATGTTTTTCAATCGTTGATTTAGAGGTCTTTTAAAAATGTTAAGAATTCAGTTACCTGCACAGCCATTCCCGTACTGTCAGAATCCAGTGTCATCAGTTTTTTTCTATTATGTCTCTCATCCGCAGTCATTTTGAAACAGTCCTTGATTTCATCTTCATGGTAAGTAATGTCAAAATCCTGAAGAAAAGTATACCATGTTCTTTGTACTAACAGAAGCACTCAGGATCCTAAAGGATTTCCACCTATATTTTTTATGCTATAAGAATATTTCAGACGATCAGAAGCGCAAAATCAGAAAACAGACCTTTTTTTCATGAACACCATCTAGAATTATGAGTGCCAATGATTTGGATCCTCGAATTTGTGTCATTTTAATCATACCATCACCACCACGGAAACCTCTCAACAATCCCTCAACAACGCCTCCTGCAGTTCTTTTATCTTCATGTAAAAGAGTAGTTATATCATTATTATGGTATCTTATAAAGTAACATGCAAATATCATTATTGTAAGTTGCTAAGATTGACCTTGTACTGGAAGTTTAGCACATAAATTCTCATAAAAATTCACAGGTATCTGAGATGATTTCTGTTCTGTACGGATAGCTTTTTGTCCGTCAAGTGCAGTAAGTACACAGTCCTGAAAATTTTTCAATTTAGTTTTTATATATTTGCAAATTTATTAATTAAATAATTAAACTTTGTTTCTTGAATGCTCGAATTTTTTCCAGAAATATCTTTCGCTTTCAAATCCAAATTTGTGATTCATGTTTAAATTTTAAAAAACTAAAAAATAACACGGAATTGTTTGCTTGGATAATCAAATACTATCGGAGCATTATTACTCAGATTTTAGGGTAAGTTTTCGGTAACAGTAAGATGACTCATTCATGCATTTCGCTTAAATAATTCAATGTAAATTTAATTCGACTATCATAGGTAATAAAAGTTGGACTGGAATCACTCTTCCCACTTCATCTTCTTTTTTTTCCTCTCAAACGTTCATTTAAATCGATTTAATCAAAACGGACTTCATCTTTCGGCATATGCATCAATGAGCGACATATGAATCCACCGGAAAGTAATGATCGAAGGCATGACCTGAGGCAATCATCTTTAAATTCCACACTTTCCGTACTTTCAATATCGTTCGCACTCAATTCTAATCGATAGCCTTTCTTGTAAACAAAACATGAATTTAGACCTGTATAGTCGCCAATAACACTGTTCACTAAAATTTGAGTATTGGAGAACAAAATCAAAATTAGAAACAGTCAAAAAAAAAAACAAAAATTTGTTGGATTACTAGATGATTTCGTAAAAACCTCTCAGTTTAAAGTAAGCTTCAATATTATGGATGGCTTAATATTTGACATACTCAATGATTCGATCTTTTCAAATCCTAAAGATGATGCAGCATTAAAAAAGCATACAGTTTCTAAATTAATAAACTCTTTGTTAGTTAGTTTAATTACAATTAATGTGATTATTAATTATCATCAAAAATTCATTTTCAAAAAATACATTTCAGTTAATTAACAATAATTTATCTTTACATCTATCTATAGCATTAGTTGATGCATACAAAACCATCATTAGATAAATTAAATATATATCGAGATGAAAATGTGTGAGGTAGTTTTTGATCAAAGAAGTGTAAGAATTTATTTATAACATTTATTATATAAACTTAATTGTTATGTCATACTTTTCAATTAACCATTTTTTTTTCGTTTCATCTTTAGCTTTCAAGTACTTGAAAATGAAATTGGAGATGAAAATAACAAAAAGAAAAAAAAGATTAACTGAAAAATTTCTTTGCAGATCAACAATATATATTATATACATATACATATAATGAATAATTGTTGATAAAATTGAGGATGATAGTGCTTACACTGCAATACCGCTGCTGCAAATATGATGGTGATAAACAAATTTTTCGCTGTCATTTGACGAACTGTGCTTCGTCGTAGTCTTTTCGGGGTCGTCGTTATTCTCACCAATTTTATTACATTCACAATTTTGGTTTTCCTCTTCTTCTATTCTGTATGTGTACACACATACACATATACATACATCTGTAAACGTTCCTCCAATGGAAATAAGAGGACATCGAACATAGGTGAATGATCGGTGTGTTAAGGTAGGTGTGCTCTCATCACTACTGCCCTTTAACAAATCATTAAATTGATTGCTCGTTTTATTTTTCTTCTTTTATCATTTCGAAATTATATTACACATAACCATTGTGATAGTAATGATAATAGGTGTTGTTGACGTTGCTGATAATGACTGTATCGATATTTATCAATTAGTTTCCTTCATATTTTCAAAAAAAAAAAAACAAATATTTGCGAGATTAATTTAAACCCTGTGTGTGAATGTTTAGGATTTGTATAATTTGAAGGTCACTAATATTAATAAATTTAAATCAGAAATGCTGAATGATCTAGACATTGGAAAGGCTTGTTCAGCACTGTTTCAGTTACCCGTTATTAAAAAATAAAATAGTTTACAATTTTGAACTTCAAAACTCACATACATCAGGGTTCAGGTTTTTTAGCATTGGGAGTTTCATCTTCGCAAATAAATGTTACAGTATTCCTTACAAACGATAAAAAATAAATAAATCAGAGACAAAAAGAATGATTTAAAATACACTCCAATCAATAAAGTCAAACTGAATAGTGTGCATTCTAGGAATATTGTTTAAGTGGATGAAATAGGGAACAAATGAACATCGGTATCACTCCCCCACATATGATCAAATCCTTTATTATTTACAGTTTTCGCTAATAGATTATCAACAAACTAACGAAAACGCTGAGCTGAAATGCTGATATGATAAATGAAAAGTATGATCAAGAACACAAATCACATTTATCAAATTACCAAATAGGAAACCAATAAATTTTAAAATGAAAAGTAAGGCTTAAAAACAGAGATAAATAGAGTAGACAAAACCAGAAGCGACATGAAAAATGATCACTTCTTGCACGCTTCCTCAGAATTTCCACTTTTGAAATCAATTTTTAATCGACTTCTTAAACTGACACAAGTACCCATCTATAGAACTTTTACAGTAATGAATTCGAGGAACAATAGCACAATACTGATGGACTAGTAAACGAGAGATGTATCACATTTCGACTTATAACTTGACATACATTTTGTTTGATGATTTAAAGTTTTTAGAAAAAATAGAAGTCTTACTAGATGAAAGGGATGGAAATTTTTTCTTTCATTTGCTCACAACAAACTGACGTAATTAGCAGGAAAGAGTCCATAATGATCATCAGGAGAGAATTTACACAAGCATGATTAGTACTGAACTGTACAGGTTGGAAAATATGAGCATTACACTCTAATTCTAATTCGTTATATTAGAGAATCATAGAAACAGGAAGAGCAATTAAAGCTAAGTGAACCACGGAGATATCATGAACCCAAGATCCAATGAAGAAATGCAAAAGTAATGGTCAATTTCAGAAATGTGATGAACATTTATTCATTCAAAATAGTTTGCTAGACGAGTTTGCAAATCATTAAACTCTTTACTAAGAATATCTCCCACTCCTATGCCTTCGGCATCATATAAGCATGAGCAGATATGAACGAAAATCTCAGAAAGGACAAATACATGACTAATGATCGGAAAGAAAAACAAACCACTGACAATAACTAAACATTAAAAAAATATGTAAAGTGATAAAATGGAAAGTTTAAAAATTAAAACAAAAAAAGATGATGACTATCCAAGTGTTCCCAAAAAGTGTAAAAAAGTTGATAGTCCGGGTTAAATAACCGCACTGGAAAAAAATTTTAAAAGAAAAATACTTGTTCGAAATCATATAACTTGTTATTCGCACGGTTGGGTAAAAATATTCGTACGGTAGGTAGAAATTTTTTTTTTAAAAGAAAATTTTCGGGAAGCAAAGGATGGGATAAATAGAGTAGACAAAACCAGAAGCGACATGAAAAATGATCACTTCTTGCACGCTTCCTCAGAATTTCCACTTTTGAAATCAATTTTTAATCGACTTCTTAAACTGACACAAGTACCCAACTATAGAACTTTTACAGTAATGAATTCGAAGAACATAATGACAATATGGAACAGCACAATACTGATGGACTAGTAAACGAGAGATGTATCACATTTCGACTTGTAACTTGACATACATTTTGTTTGATTGTCGTGAAAACGAAACCTCAAACAAATAGTGAGAT